CCCCGCCCGTCGATCTGAGACACATGGCAGAAAAAGACCAAAAAGCAGGGAAGCGCGGGTGGTGGAGAGAATTCAACTAGACATCGCGACCAAGAAGCCAAAGATCGGCGACTGACCACAACGAGCCAGTATTGTAGACGCGTGAATACATCAAATCTGTATTGAAAATAAAAAAAACTACATCTCCAACGAGTGCAGTAGGTACGTCAAGTAAAGCCACCCAACACCGCCCAGCATCCACACTTTACCTGCGTAGGATTCGGGGTACGTTGGGGGGTACCGTACTACGAGCTCGGGATACGAATACAAGCATCGAAACAGTTGCTCACGCATACAACCCAGAGTGTTGATCACATACCCAGTACCCCGTCTCACTCATTCATCAAACGCACAAAGCACGACACAACACAACACAACACAACACAACACAACACAACACAACACAACACAACACAACACAACACAACACAACACCACGGCCCCAACACCAATCAAACGAGTGTAATTATTTACTTTAGTATTTCATGTCTAATCGTAATAAAGCCCAACCTCACAAATGCCTCTTCGTTTCCGCAAAAGAAAGCACATGCGTTCTTCATATGTATGTACGAGTGAGAAAAGGGTATTGGTCTGTACAAAAAAAAACAGAGAGAGAGAGAGAGAGAGCGCCATTCCCATGCTTTTGGAGGCGTGTGTATATGTGCAGAAAAACGCCTGGGAAACGACTTTTGTTGTGGGGGTGTTTGTGTGAATGAGAGGGGGGTTGGGAGGGTCAAGGGGGGTGGAGTGGGTGTAGGTTGATGAGTCGGCCCGGATGACGAAGGATTCGCAGCGCTTGAAGATCCCCCGCCCGCACGGGTGTGTCTCTTGCTACTAGATGAGAGGAGTCGATGATGAGAGGAGACGGAGATGAACAAGGATCCAGTACAAGTCCGAGGCTTCACATCTTTGCCTGTCTCAGAATCTGACTTTGCTGCTGCAACTGCAAAATCTCCCTCTGTTCCTGGAAGACGTGTCTCGCGCGCTCCAAGACCATCTCGAGCCCCTCCTTGCCCTTTGCGGCATTCTGCTGGAAGCGCTCGACCGTGAACTGCTCGATGCTGTTCTTGATCTTCTGCCAGCCGCCGCAGAGCGCCGTGATTTCGGCGCGTTGTGAGAATTGCGTTTTATTCGAGGGCGACGAGGGGACGGGCTGGTATGTGCATGTTTCGCGGATGTTGAGCAGGTCGCTGAGGGTGATGTTCATCGAGCAGAGGGTGAGCTTCTTGGCGACAGGGTCGACGTAGGAGGTTTCGTAGACCATGGATGTGTCTTGGCCGCCGAGGATGGCGGTCACCCACTTGGGTGCGGATTGTTGGCAGGTGATGAGGCGTTCTGTGCGGAGCTGACAATGCATGTTAGTACCTGGCGCTGACTTTGGGGTCTTGGTTGGGATGGCGGGGACCCAGGTAAGGGAGGAGCACGTGAAAATCAGCGGCGACTTACAATTCCAGTCTTGGGGTCGACGGCGCGACTGATTGTGTCGACGGCAATGACATGTGGTGTCTTCTCGTTCCAAGGTCCGTATTTCATCCAATTACTTGTCGAGACTTCCTCCCATGAGTAGTCAAAGTTGACTGTTTGCTGAAAGTACTTCATCGTGAATGCTCGTGTGCCGGTAGTCCGGGAAAATCCTTGGAAGATGCTCTATGCCGTGTGTGTGGAGTATCGGACAGAGAATGATGGGGTGGTTTTCGCGTTGGTATTCGGTGGGCGTCGATGGCTTGCGTACAGATAGGTGGGGGAGGGGTTCTGATTGTGTCGGGGAGTCGAAATGGATCAGTCAGAGAGAGAGAGAGAGAGAGAGGCGGGAAGGTGGTGATTGAAAATGTAGGTAAAAGTTAGGGCCAGGGCGAAAAAGGGCAGAGGCCGCCAAGTGCTCGGTGCGCGATATGTCCCGCCGGCGTTCGGGGCAAAGCGGGACCAGCAGGTGCCAACGCCTTACCGCTATGTCGAGCCAACCTTACCAATGGCTGCCACAGGAGAGGAACCTGGTGAAAGGGTGCTGAAGGCTAGAGGAAAGGAGCAAAGAGAGTGGTGGTAGGGTAGTCGGTGTAGGGATGCAGTAACGGGGTGATTGATGGCAATTGCAAGTAGTATGGTAGCGTATATCTAGAGTACTGTACTGTACTGCACTGTATACTTGTACCTGGAGTCAATCCAACAATTCCATCAATATTCCACAAGCATTACGAGACCCTTCCATCACCCTCCACAAACCCCCTCCCGAACCAACAAGCCCCCAGCTACTACTCTACTACTCTACTCTATCTGTACTTTGTACACCAGCAAAAGCAGGGCAGATGGATCTTCCCAACGCCCAGTCCTGCACCTCACAATCGCCCCAAACACCACCACCAGCCCTCTCGCCCAGTCATCAAGCTCTGCCCACGCAAACCCGACCCGCTCCGCATCACCAATGACGCATTAAACCCGATCGGCCAATAGCGCGCTTATCTACGCGGCGACTAGAACCGGCGCAGGGCTTGCCACTAACCGTAAAGGCAACGCACACAAGTCCAAGTGCCTAGGCACAAAGCCTTTTGGGGCCCCGGGTGGAAAAGATTTGTCGCGTGGGCTTGCTGCTGCTGCTGCTGCTGCTGCTGCTCAGATTGTCAGTTTGGCTTGTGATTGTCGCGGGTGGGGATTTTCCGTCCAGTGTGGAGAGTTGGGCTGGGTGCTTGCTTGCGATAAGGCGAGGGAGGCGGAAGGGGGGGGGGAACTTGACGTGTGTGACTTTCGGTTGCAAAGTGACTGCACTGCGCTCAAAACACCGACTGCTGTTCGTGCAATCCGCCCGTGTCTGTATGATGCGTGTCACGTGGTACAAAAATACTGCTGGAGTCCTCTTGAGCACTCTTGTGCGCGATTCTATAGTGACATCAAAGCCAGATGACTAACTCCTGTATTTTGTATTCTTCCGCGGCCCACCGCCTTAGTACCAAAACACCACACCAATCGATCCTCGCACCAACGCCACACGCCGCCATCCACTGCCAACCGCACCGCACCCCTAGGTCAATACCATAGCTAGCGCTCGTCTAACCACTTCTCCCCCCAACTTCTCTTCCTGACAATCCGTTCCGTACACGGGGCGAGTGTACACATGACGCTTTTTGCTATATACGTAAACATGTCCCACGATCCAAAAATTCCGAAAGGGTATCTGTAAATGCGTGCTCATGCTTCTGAAGCTCAAGAAAAGAAAAGAAAGGAAGAGAGAAAAAAGACTGCCCAAGAAGATCCCGATTAACTTCCCCTTTCGCTCCCTCGTACCCTCGCTCCCTTCCCATCCTGTTCATGCTGTGTAAAACCTCGTAATAGGGGTAGAGTCCACGCGGGCATCTTGCTACGACCAGGCTTCTCCTCTCTCGACACTCCTATCCCCTGTCCTTCATCCCTGTCTGCCATGTTGTCGCCGTGCGCTGCCACCCATCCCAAAGTCTGGAGTGACCCCGTTTGCCGTGGCTGTATTCTAGTCCATCAGTTCAGCTACCAACAGCTCAGTCAGTCTTCCAGTGGCTTGTCAGCCGGCCATCATTGTCAGCACTCGAAATGTTGAGCTCAATGGCGTACAAGCCCATGGTGATGGCCAGATTGATCCACCTCCACAGATTCCCACCCGCATCGCCTCCCTGGCTCGTCCACCACTCGCCATTCACTGCACTTCCATCCGTTCCATTGCCATTGGCAAAGTGCTGCATAAGTAGGCTCGTGTACACTGCGATGATGATACTGGGGCTGAACCACGTCAAGAAACCGAGAATCTTGCTAGTCTCGTCATCATCGTCCAGGCTGGGTTCTTGCGACAGGGCCCGAGCACCACTTTCCCTAATCGCTGGAATGATACGTGCTGCGGCGTACATGACAAAAACGCGGTATGCGAGCGAGATGATGACAGAGGGTGTAATGGTCATGATGGCCCCAACCATGAGATTGAAGCAAGTGTGAGCTATTGTCGGAAGCGACCCCATGGCGTGTAGCAAGGTCGTATATGAGGCCATGATGATAGGTGGTAGAGGAGGGAGTGCAGGATCAGAGGATGCGTTGGCTGCAGCGATTGACCCGGGCGAGGGCTGGTAATCGGTGAAGATCTGGTAGATGCAGAGTGTCACATAGGCAAACTGATGCTGTTAGCTCATGTGGATAGCCATGTGCTGGTAGACATACGAGGAGCGACGACTCGACCGGATTGCCCCTTGCGCTGACGATGCCCCATGCACCGAGGAAGACGGCCGTTGTGATGGCCACGCCAATCAAGATGGCATCGACATTGCTGATCGCAGGGAATGTGGTGATACGCCAGAGGAAGTAGAAAGAGGTCGAAATGACGGACGCAGAGGTGAAGAGAAGACCAATCTGTGTGTTTGAGTTAGCTTTTTGCAAACCATCATCAGTCAAGCAAACGTACCATCCAGGCATCTCCCTGTTCCTTATTCACCACCCATCTGGTAATCTGCCCCGCGGCTTGAATGACCAACAAACTGCAAAAGCCCTCGGCAAGCTGGAAGGCGGGAGTGCTGTATCTCAACGTCTTGTCCCATGCACCAATCGACGCGCGCTGCAGTAGGCCCTGACTGCCAAAGATCCAGTCATGGGCGCTCGTGAACTCGGATCTGCTACCCCCAAACGTCTGCTCCGCCCAGCCAGCGTTGTTGGTCGCGTCAATGGAGAACTTGTTCAGACTCCAAATCAAGAGCGTCGGTATGGCCAACCACTGCGCCCAAGCTACCACGTTGCCTAGAGCCCATCGGACTCTCGACGTGTCTGGTGTTGCGAGTCGGAGGGTGGAGAAGAGGAAGTAGTAGACGCTCAGAGACAGGGAAAAGGCTAGGCCACAGGTTCGCCCACCAATGTCAAAGGCCAGCGGGATGGTGAAGATGATGGCGCCGAGAAAAGTGGTCGACGAGAGCACTCTGGTAAACCACATGTGCGTCCGCCGTCCTCGCCAAGCCCGAGCAACGAGCCTGACCTCTGACGTGCGCTGCGGCTGCAAGAAGGCGTGTAGGACGCAGAGGAGGCGGGGAGGGAGAGGGGGAGGGGGAGGGGGAGGGGGAGGGGGATAACACGCCTTAGCTGTAGTGTCTGGAGGTGGCAAGGGACGCGTTCCAATTGCGGGGAGAAACGTCCTTGGCAATTTTGGTAAGTCCATGGTCCAGACTGATTTTCATCGTTCCCAAAAACTAACCATTTGCTTCACAGTCCTCATACATGCAATCCACGTTCTAATCGACGATATCCAGTGACGGATCTTGCCACACGTGAATTCCAGTGGAACAAGAACGCCTCAATCTGAGGGTGGCAGCTCTTCAACAACTGGCAGTGGCGTCAGTGAACAGGCTCAACATTTGCTCCGCTCCGCCGTCAGGTGCTCTGGCAGTCTG